CCTAGCCCTTTTAATTTTATTTTGAGTTAGGATTTTGCTAAGTTGTCTAGTTTGGTTCTCACGCTTGGGATCCACCTGCCTCAGCTTCCAGAGTAGCTGGAATTACAGTATGCCACTAAACCCAGTAGGACTTTCTTTTTTTATATAACCACCATGCCATTATCACACCTGAAAAATCAGCAATAATTCCTCCATCTCATCTGGATACCTATTCTATAATCACATGTCCCACATTTTTCAAGGGTATCCTGTCGACGGTTGGTTTATTCACATCAGAATTCAAACACAGTTCACACATAGCATTTGGTTGACGTCTTTCAAGTCAGCCCCTTCCTGACAGTCCAGGGGCTGGGGTTGTGGCTCAGTGGTAGAGTGCTCACCTAGCATGCTTGAGGCACCAGGTTTACCCTCAGCACCACATAAAAATGAAATAAAGATATTGTATGTCATATATATATATGACAGTACAGGAGGGAGAGCTTTGGAAGCTTTTGCTGGAGTTGAACAATTGCTCAAGAAAACTGAAGGTCCTGGAGAAGAGGATTAAGAGTCTCCATGTGTTCAAGCTGAAACCTAACTCAGAAAAGTCAGGCCAGGCAAGGAAAGGGGCATTGCCACCTCCTCCTATTGCCTTCAGCTCTCCCTACCCTACCCAGTGAGGAGGCAGACATCCAGGTGTCAAGCCTCACCTGCACCTTCCTGAGAAAACCAATGGTGAGTCCAGCCAGGACAGGGCTCCAGCCATCAAAGTAGCCAACAAAGGAAGAGGCAGAGGTGCTACCTGGAGAGATGCAACTGAGGGAGGTGGAGGTAGTGAGGCCCAGAAAGTGTCCTGGGCAGGAAAGAAAAATGGGTGCCCCAGTTTTCCATGAAGTATGAGGCTGGAGAGAAGGTACAGATGGAGGTTTGAGAAGTTGCAATCTGTTTGCAGTTTCTACAGGAAGCTTGGTATTTAGAGAAAAGCGTCTGGAATGGCTCTTCTGTGAAGCTGGGGTCTCTTTTTCATGATTTGTTGGTGGCTCCTGCTTCCTCTCCATGCTCTGTGGATGTGGGCACAGACCTAGAACAGCCCACTAGACTTTTCAAAGGCATTTGCATCTGTATAAACAAAATCTGACTCCAGCCTCCACTGCTTTCTGTCTTCTTGTCTCCCTTCCTGACATCCTCCCAAGACACAGAACATACCCCCAAGAGCCAGGTGGAAATTTCCCAGGCTTCTGACGACACTGATAGGCCACAAGGTTGGAAGACAGTTGGGTATTCACTGTTTGCAAGGAGGAAAGGGCCAGGAGAAGGCGGGCATAACTCCTTCTTCCCCTCACATTCTCAATTTAGTCAAAAGTGTTCGAGCCACATTCCTTCTGGGAACAAATTTCACTGCAGAATTTGTCTCTGATTTTCCAAGCTGGGCTGATAGCATTAGCCTGGCATTGAGCCTTTTATCAACCAGGGAGGCCCATTGATTAGGAAAGGTAAGCCTGACAGACTCATAGCCTGGATGGTCATCTCCTCAGGGGTGATGCTATTGTTTGTAGCATATGGATGGACAGGAACCTAGAAGTAATTGCATCACTTTTCATTAATGGCCCTGGAAATGGTCCCACCTGACATTTCATCTGGGCCCCTCTGCTCAGTGGCTTTTCCTGCTTGGCCAGTAGGAAGGGGGGATTCTCCTTAACAGGACCCCTTGCCTGTGTTGACCTTCCAGCCCTGAGGTCAGCCATTTTTCTCCTGGGTGAGGGCACCCCGCAGTAAGTGGACAAAAAGAGGTTCCTTCCCTCTTGGAACTTTTAGCCCCACCTCATCAACTTCTCCTTGTAAGAGACAAACGTCCTCTGCCAGGGTTCCACTGAAAGGATAAATCATGGCTGAGTGAATTGAAGACATGAGTGAAGTTAGAGGTAGAAAGGTTTTGAGGAGTGAGAGGCAGCATGCTAATCATCTGGGGGAAGGAGATTCTAGAAGCCATGAGGAATAAGGAGGGTGGGATTCACAAAACAATCCCCAAATTAATACAGAATAAAATGCCAGGCAGTGACACATACAATAGAGAAGACTGGCATAAGCAAAGTCGTCATGGGGGACTGCTGAAGAGCTGTTTTATCTACGGGGAATCAGGAAGGCTCCCCTGAGGAGGTGATGTTTGAACAAAGACCTGACCCAAGTGACAAAGTGATGTAAGAATGAGCAAGGGCAACGACCCTGAGACCTTGGGTTTAGGATCAGCAAGCCAACCCGTGTGGCGGAGGAGGCATATGCTGGCCTGGGAGTCTCCAGGAGAATGTTGGGTTATATGGAGAGCACTGGAAAGCCACAGGAAGGCTTGGAGCAGAGGGACAGGCAGGTCGTCAGCACAGGTGGGCTGCCCTCTGCCTGCTTTTCTTTTTTTTTTCTTTTTATGTGGATATGACAGTAGAGTGTATTACAACTCTTTCCTTATTAGAATCCCATTCTTGTGGTTGCAAAGGAAAGTCCTCTGCCTGCTTTTGTGCCTCCCTTCCTGGTGGGACCTGGACCCAGGCTGGACCTGCAGATGTGGCAGGTAGTTAAGGAAAGGGTCCAGGAGAGCTGGGCGTGGCCTGGTGATCCCTCTGTGTCCTCATCCTTTTCTCTTCCCTTTTCCTGTCTCTTCCTTCCCTTCCTCTTTTTCCTGCACTCTTTTCCCAAAGCACTGTGTGCTCATTTGGGAAGGTCAGCAGCCCCTGGCCTTCCCACCTCCCATCTACTTCAGGGTTGCTAAAACTCTGTCCCTGCTCCTTGACCCCCACAGAACTCTGCATCTCACTGACAGACTCATGACACCCTTGCAGTGTACTGAGAGGGTGACCTGGGCCTCTCACTGATGAAATGAGTAGGTCTCAGGTCCTGCAATTTATTCCAATTTATCTCTTGAGCAGCTCAGGGAAATAACCAGGCAGCTATTAAGTACCCAGAGTTGTTGGTTCTGGGCAGAGAGGAGAGAGGGGCTGGAGGCTTTGACATAGACATGGAAAAGTTTCTGTCCTCTGGGGTTGCTTTCCAGTGGTGGGATTCCTCTACTACAGAGCTGGCAGAGACAGCTGCTGCACATAGGAATAGAGCACGCAGGTGCTTTGGTCAGGCCTGGGAGGGAGACATTATTTCTTGGAAGTGCTCTAGGAAGCAGGTGGCACTTGCATTAGAATTTGGAACACTTGGAGGCCTTCTGGGGGCTTTAGAGAAAGGCCCTGCAACGGGTCCCCTGCCATATGCAAGTCCAGAGCAGCCCAGGCCCACAGTGTGCATTGGCTTTCTTCTGGTTCCTGATGCTATGATGAAAGATGAACAAGAATGGAAATGTGTTCTCAGTGTGGTTAAGAGACAAGACCAGCCCTAGGGAGTCAGTGAACTACCCACCCTTAGCATTCACCAGGACCAAATATGGCCTTGCAGTGAGCAGGTTGTCAGAGTAGAGGGAAAAAAGCTGCACAGGACCTTAGGGGTCATCCCGGGCAGCTCGTTTTCTTGAGGTCATGGGGTCTTTTGAGAATCTATGAAAGCTATCAGCTCAGAAGAAATGCTTGTCTGTGCAGACACACTAAATTGGTTTTTTATTGAGGTATAATTTATAACCCATAAAAGTTGCCATTTTAAAACATACAATCCAATGCTTTTTAGTACATTTACAAGGTTATACAACCACCATTGCTTTCTTACTCCAGAACATTTTCATTATCCCAGAAAGAAACCCCATACCCTTTGTAGTCATCCCCCATTCTCTACTTTCCCCAGCCCCTAGCAACTTGATCTACTTCCTGTCTCTAGTTTTGCCTATTCTGGCACATTTTATATAAATGGAATCACACAATATGTGGTCTTTTGTGCTGGCTTCTTCCATTTAATGTTTTCAAGATTCATTCATGCTGTAGTTTGTATCAATACTCTATTTGTTTTCATGTATAATATTCCTGAATAATATTTCATGTATGGATACCACATTTTCTTTATCCATTCATCAGTTGATGCACATCTGGGTTTTTTCTACTTAGCTCTTATGACTAGCTTGCTATGAACACTCACGTACACATTCACACACGAAAATTTGCAAACCGTTTCAGAGATTCACAGAACTCCCAAAACCTATCTCATGACTTAGGAAAGCCTCATTTTATAAAAAGAGGGAACTGGGGAAAGGTGGTGCACACCTGTAAGCACAGTGGCTGGGGAGGCTGAGGCAGGAGGATCACAAGTTCAAAGCCAGCCTCAGCAACTTAGTGAGGCCCTATCTCTAAATAAAATATTTAAAAATGGCTGGCAATGTGCTGGTTAAACACCCCTGAGTTCAATCCCTAGTGTCAAAAAAGTGGGGGGAGGGATTTGAGAGGAGATGGACATAACTTGTTACTGTTTATTGAGTGGTGCTAGGTTAAATTCTTTATGTAAGCCTCAACAACCCTGTGACACGTTATTATCCCCCATTTCAGATAGGAAAACTGAGGCTCAGAGAAGCCATATCAGGCTTCTTAGAGAAGCTGAGATTTAAGCTAAGCCTCGACTGCCAGGCAATGAAGGGCAGTTACACATCTGTCTCCACCTGACTCCCACCAAAGCCCCTATTTCCTTCCATTTATTTTCTAAAGATGTATTAATGCTCTGTTTGCCAACAAGCCATCCATTTTGCTAAACCCAGAGCCAGTCCAGCATACAGGGAGCATCCCAGATTGCCAGAAAATGACCCTGTCCCCAAAGTGATGTGTGATCGAAGCCCCTGCCTCCTGCTCTCCCACTTCAGGAGAAGCTGGGCCTCCAGCCACACTGGCTTGTGTATCTGGTTGTAGTAATAATAGCTCAGGGACATCCATCTCCTGAGCAGCTGAGACATCTGTAGCCATTGCCTCACTGTACCGCTCCCACTGCACACCCTGCCTGGCAGGGAGGTATCAGGGCAGGTTGAGGACAGCATGTGGCTAGGGTTCTGCAGGGAGGTGGGCAGCTGCTGTCTGACGCCCATTGACACCATCATGCTCTGCTTTGTCCTGTAGCCGGTGGACAACCAGCAAGCCATGGTGCGCAGGGAGTCCCTGGTCAACCTGGAGAACTTCAAGAAGCAGTATGTCCGCAGGAGGTGGAAGGTGTGTGTGGTTTGGAGTGGTTGGGGGAGAGGGCCAGCCAGGCACCCTGCCGCTCTTCAGGGTCCCTGAGCACATTCTCACCTGGCATCTGTTTTCTCTCCCTCCCTCCCTCAGCTGTCCTTCAGCATCGTGTCCTTGTGCAATCACCTCACTCGCTCCCTGATGAAAAAGGTGCACCTGAGGCCAAATGAGGACCTGGTGGGTAAATGCGGGACCCTTTGGGGCAGAATTCTGGGGGTGGTGTGAAGCTTGGAAGTAGGGGGACCTTCTCTCCCCTGTTGAGGCAGGTGAGTGCTAGTTATTTCCAGTCTTTTCTGCTGGCCCTGTGCTCCTCTGCCCTGGAGCTAGTGTGTAATCAGCAGAGGTATATGTTTGGGGGGCCTCTGGCTGGTGCTGGGTGGGGTGCTCCAACAAGGCAGCATGAACTTTTGGAGAATCTTAAATTCTTTCCTGCTCCATCTTTGAAGAGATTGCTGCTCCCACTCCCTCCCCATCCCTCCAGAACCGCCCTGAAGACTTATAGTCCTCAGAGGATGGTGGGGACTCTGGAGAATGAATACCAGAGACCATCCAAAATTTATTTCTGATGATCCAAAAATCTACTTTAGAATGGGAATTTTACATCCTCTTTTAAGTCCTCCCATTTCTAGCTTGCTTTAGATTACCATTATCAATAATAATATTAGGATGGTTTCTTATACTTGTTATAGTTTTATGCATCTTATAATGGGATATGCTGAAGAGAATAGCCTCTAGAGCCTCTAGAGCCAGACTGCCAGGATTCAAATCTGCCACTTACTAGATAAGTGATCTTAAGGAAATTACTTAATCTCTCTATGCCAAAATGTCATCATTTGTGAAATGAATTAAATAATAGTTCCTACCTCATAGAATAAATATGGGGTTGTAGTGACCTGTCCCTGAAATTTGGCATGTAAGTGTTCAATACATGAGAGCAATTATTACTATTGTTTAAAATCCTCCTATAGACTTTAAAATACAACACTAATGTCAGTATTTCAGTCTGTAGGGATTCCCTGGCAGCTCCCCCACTGCGAAGGTGAAGGGGGCCACCCAGGAGGGTCTGAGTTGGTACAGGCCAGGACAGAAGGTGACTCCTTGTTAAAGAAGGGACAGAGAATCAACTGTCTGAGACACCTGAGCAGCCTCAAGATACACAGCACTTAGGCACATCCCAGGACCCAGCACTTCCCGTACTTCCTACTCCCCCCATGTATCCTGGAGTTCTCTTTCTTCAGCCTGAGCTCTGGTTTATTCCTGCTCTTGCCAAGACTTGAGGATTTATGACTCCAGAAGCCTACAAGGCATTGGCCAAGTTGTATCCCTTTTCTGTCTGCTTCCCTGACCTGCTATAAAGGGGACTGGACCACTCTCCCTCTGAGCATACCTGTCAATCACATGCAGACTTTACCCAGCTTACTTTTTTGTTGTTTGGCTCTGATTCATGGTATAAAAAGTTGCTGGTCAGCAGAGCTTGAGTTATTTTTATTATAATGGCAAGACTTGGTCCAGGATGTATTTGGCTGAAGTTAACCTTGCCCTTGGATTTCCTGCTGGCTCAGGCCAGCCTGGGAGGGTGCATGACAGGGAGCAGACATGCCTTTCATGAGCCCTGACCCCATTGCCATGTGTGTGGAGAGAGAGGACCAGAGAGTAATGGTGAAGAACATACATTCTTTTCCTAATTTTTGTCCTAGCACAAACACTTGAAGATAGTTTTCTTTTTATTCAAACACTCAGCATTATTAGCTCCGTGGCTCATTCTACAAGTGGAAAAGTATTGAGTCCCAAACAGACATAGTTTTTACAAAGGGACTTTTCTTAAAAAAAAAAGGTAATGATAGGGCCCTTTTGTTTGGGGAATATTGAAATTGAACATCTAACAATTTTTAAATTTTTTTTAAAGAGAGAGGGAGAGGGAGAGAGAGAGAGAGAGAGAGAGAATTTTTTAATATTTATTTTTTAGTTTTTGGCGGACACAACATCTTTGTATGTGGTGCTGAGGATCGAACCTGGGCCGCACGCATGCCAGGCGAGCACGCTACTGCTTGAGCCACATCCCCAGCCCCACAATTTTTAAATTTTTTTAAGATGACTTTATGAAGTCTGAATTAGTTCTTTTTTGTTTTTAATCTTTCTTTTGTTTATTTATTTTTATGTGGTACTGAGGATCGAACCCAGGACCTTGCACGTGCTAGGCAAGTGCTCTACCGCTGAGCCACAACCCCAGCCCTAGTTCTTCTTTTAATAATTAAAAAAAAATTTTAGTTGTAGTTGGACATTTACTTATTTATTTTTATGTGGTACTGAGGATCAAACCCCGTGCCTTGCAAATGCCAGACGAGTGCTCTACTACTGAGCCACAACCCCAGCCCCTAATAATTTTAATAATTATATTAGTTGGTGTGAGCTGAACAGAAAGACATCATGCCCTCTGGGTAGTTACCTGGGCTCTGCTTTAGCCATGTTGGGATGGACAGACTGTATTGTCTACTTCTTTCCTTGTTCATAAAAATGAGCTTTTCAGAAGTCATTTCATTGGAAGAGCTGCAGGACAAGGCTTGCTGAAGGTGCAGTGGAAGTGAGTCAAGGTGGAGGGGTTGGAATGGTGGCTGTTGGAGCTTGGGGGGGGAACCTATAGCTTACCTCTATCTCTAGACTGAGCAGAGACTCAGCAGCCCACAGACAACTTATCCTTATGTGTGGCCACAAAGGGCACCAGATCTAATTTTCATTATTATGGTGGGTGTCTTTTGGTGCCTGGTTTCCCTTAGATGCCCTACCTGCTTTCCTGCCTCCAAGGAGGCCTCAAGTTTGTTAGTCTGGCCTCATTTTAAGCCCCCCACCAGACCCCTCCCTTCCACTGGTCTCTGGATATGCCCCAGCTGAGGTATATCAACTTAGGCTGCCCAGCCCAACCCGCTTCCTGGCATCCCATAACCCCCTGCTCTGGCCTTCTTTTTTTTTTTTCCCCCAGAGGAATTGTGAGAGTGACACTGAGGAGGACATCACCAAGAGGAAAGCCCTCCACCCTAGGAGGAGGAGCAGTACCTCCTAACTTGGCTGGACTTGCAGTGGCTGCCAGGGAGGTCCAGGCCCAGCGGGGCTCCCTTCTGTGCAGACTCTTGGACCCAGCTCATCACCAGCAGCCAGGCGTTCCACATTCCTGAGCACTTTGCAAGAGAGGGGCCTGCAGGATTCAGAAAAATTTGCAGGGGAGCCAGGAGACCCTGGGAGTTCTGGCTCTCTCCTGTGGAGGAGGCTCCAGCACTTCCAAAGCTCTTAATTCTTCATGAAACTGGCTTTTATCTGTCTGCCAATCTCAGAATCTGGGCAGGGGTGTGAACTTCGGGAAATGATGTAAAACATCATCTTCATCCCGGCATGAAGGTCAGACTCAGGCAGCTCTCCTCACAGGGTGAGGGAGTTCAGAACCAGCCTGGTCAGAAATCACACCAGGAAGACAGAGACCTCCCACTAAGGGAACAGTGAAGAGAATCTTGGAATATGAGGGACCAATCCGTGACCTCCTAGAACCCACTGGAATCAGCATACCAGAGTGACCAACATACTAGACCTTCTAGAACAACCATTGTCAGCCCACTGTGCTGTAATATTTTTCATTTTTATTAAACTTTTGGTTTATCTGAGGCTTGGCTTCTTTTAGGGCTACCTTCTTCTGATTTCCTTAGCCCAAGGGCCTATGACTTGGAGGTGCTGAGGGGACAGAACCTCAGAAGGTGATTCTAAATTGTCCCCTCCTGCCTTCAGGGTGTCTGCCTTCTGCATCCTTCTCTAAAGGTCTCCAACCCTGACGCCAGCATAAAAGGCCTGAGCTCCCCACACCACCCCTGTACCACTCCTGCTGCTATGGGCTAATCATGTCTCCCCCAAATTCATATGTTGAAATCCTAACCCTTCCCACCACAGAATATTAGTATATTTGGAGACAGGGTCTTTAAACAGTAATTAAAATGAAATGAGTTCACTGAGGTGGACCCTGATTCTCTATGACTGGTCTTATAAGAAGAGATTAGTTGGATACAGTGCCACACGCCTATAATGCCCCCAGCTCTGAGTCAAAAGGATTGCAAGTTCAAAGCCAGCCTCAGCAACAGTGAGGCACTAAGCAACTAACTCAGTGAGACCCTGTATCTACATAAAATACAAAATAGGGCTGGGGATGTAGCTCAGTGGTTGAGTGCCCCTGAGTTCAATCCCTGGTACCAAAATGAAAGAAGAATCAGCCAGGCACGGTGGCACATGCCTATAATCCCAGCTACTCTGGAGGTTGTGGCAGGAGGATTATAATTTTTTTAGGACAGTCTGGACAAGTCAGAGAAACCCTATCTCATAAAAGGAAGGGGGCTATCGGAAGAGCTGTGGATGTTGTTCATTGGTAGAGTGCTTGCCTCCTATGCACAAGTCTTGGGTTTCCATTACTACAAAAAAGAGTGGTGGGTATTGCTGGGCACAGTAGCCTGCCTTATTGTCACAGCTACTGGGGAGGCTGAGGCAAGAGGATCGCTTGGACGCAGGAGTTTGAGGCCAGCCTGGGTGATATAGCTAGAACCCATCTCTTTAAAGAATAAAATAAAGAGAGATAGAGAGAGAAGGGGAAATCATGGGAGGAATTATGATTGTATGCTCAGTCCATAACTTTCAGATATATTCATACAGATGTAATATAAAAAATATATCTTTTTAGACTTTTTGAAAAAAAAAAGAGAGAGAAGGGGAGATTTGGATACAGAGGGGAAAACATATAAAGACACAGGGCAGGGAAAATGGCCTATAAGCTAAGGAAAGGGGCCTCGGAAACAAACCAACCCTGTGAACACCTTGATGTTACAATTCTTGAGAAAATAAATTTTTGTTATTTAAGACACCTAGTCTGTGGTACTTTGTTATATGGTACTCTTTGGTTCTTAAACCCTAGTAAACAATACCTGCCGACTATGGCCAAGATAGAGATGGGAATTTTAACAATGCAGATAGAAGAGCATAAAGAAGGGCCCAAGGGAGAAAGGAGAGGATAAAGATGGATTCCTCTTTGGGGGAATATGGCAAGGGTACCTGCATGGCAGAAATCCAGGCTCTGCTTTCCCAGCCAAGAGAATGGCGTTGCTGACCAGACTCAAGAGAGGACCCATGGAAGTCAGAACTGAAGAAGTAAGGGGTGGCCCTGAGAGTGGGAAAGTACATAGAAGGGGAAGGGAGGGGAGTTGTGGAAAGTGAGCCAGGGAACCAGCTGAGGAAGTGAGCCAGGAAGTACAGGGCTGGGAGGGATCAAAAGGGTAGAAAGGAAAGGGCCCTTAGTTGGGCTCCCTGTGTCAGCAGTTTTAAGCTCATTGTGAGAGAGCAGGCCAAGCTGCCTTCACCCTGTAGAGGGATTCTGAACAAAATGGCCCCTAAAGAACAGAAAAGGCATGCAGTTTCAGAAACTCTCCCAGCAACATGGAGGGGGCCTGCTAGCATGCTGTAGAAAGCTCTGCAACTGACCTGTGCGTCCTGGGCTTCCCCAGTTTTCAGACAGAACCAGCCCCATACCTTGCTCCAGTTTGGGAGGACAACTGAGGCTGAGAATTTCTGACTGCACTCAGCGCCCTGGACCTGTGAAGGATTCTTGACTGAGCCTGATGATATAAATCAGCAGGAAATATTCTGCAACATGGGCTCGCTGGGCACTACTAGGAAGTCATTTGTGGTGGAGGGAGGTGGCTCCTCTCCTGCCTGGAAAGAGAGCTATGAAAGGCTTGTCTGATCACGATCGTAGGCTTAGCCTTTTAGATCTTAGCACAACCATTCTTACAGAATAGGAAATAGAAAGCCTAGAGAGAGGAAGTGACAACTTCCTGCTTCACACAGAAAGTCTGTGAAATGTCTGGTAAAAGCCCAAACTTCCTGACTCTTAGTACAGTGCTCATTTTTTTCAGCTCAATAAACTGTGGTGGGCCTTCCAGGAAATAGATAGATTGCCTCTTTTTTTTTTTTTTTTTTTTTTTTTTCTGATACTGGGAATTGAACCCATAGATGCTTAACCACTGAGCCACATCCCCAGTCCTTTTTTAAAATATCTTATTTAGACTCAGAGTCTCACTAAGTTGCCTAGGGCCTTGCTAAGTTGCAGAGGCTGGCTTGGAACTTAATATCCTCCTGCCTCAGCCTCCTGAACTGCTGGGATTATAGGCATATGCCACCATACCCAGCTAGTTTTGCCTCATTTTTAACAGGCTGGCACTTGTATTTTACTGTTACCTACTTTGTCCTTCATTCTTAGAAATGGAAGAAAGTGTCATACTTGTTTCTATACATCTTTCCTTATTAAAAAGATATTGCCCCTGGGTGAGGACAGCCTAGCAGCCAACCCCCATGGCTGCAAGGCAGACAGGGAACTAGTATTTACTGGATTCTCACTATGTGTTTGGCAGTGTCCTAAATGCTGGAGTTAGATTAGGGAAAAGGAAATACAGTCTCTGCTCTAAAGGGGTCTACTTCATCATGCCCACTGACTGTTCCTCCTGGTCTTCCTGTCTAGGTTATATAAAGCCCTGTTGACTGAGACAGCTCTCTGGTGTTTGATGGCATCTGCTGGATTTCCCAGAATCCTTTGGAAAGCACAGGGCCAGGCAGGGGCAGAGAGGGCCTTTGAGGATGCTTATCCATTGAGGATGCCTTTTGGGGCCAGAAGCCAGGAGCCAATGCCACTCCCAGACACTGCCCCAGTCACTGTGGCTCTCTGCTAACAGATGGCTGCTGGCCTGCAGGTGACAGGATGAGTGGAACAGCTAGCCTAGGGGAACCAGGAGCATTCTGTTGGCTCTGAAGGAGGATGTGTTGGCCAGCTGACACTTCAAGGCTAAAAGAAGCCACAGTGTGCTCTGAGGCAAATGGAACATTTCCAGGGATAAAAGTCATGCACAGTTAAGATGCAATTCTTTGAAGAGGTCTGAAGGTGTCCTTCCCCAGAGCATTTGCTGTGTGTTTCAGGATGCTGCATTAATATTTCACAAATATGTATATCAATATTTTAACGTGTGCTGTGTTTTAATGTCAATCTCACCAGCTTTCCTGACTACAGATCTTAGATTATACTTGCCTTTTCCACTCAGATGTTTATTTGCCAAAAACCTGGTTTTGGAAGCAAATGAAGGTCATACTGTAAGAGGTAAATCATTAAATCTCTCTCTATATATAAAAAAAAGTCAAGCCTTCTGTTCCATAAAGAAGCAAGTATATGTGAAAAGAGCTAAACTGAGGACTGTGGTGTTGAAAGGAATTGTATCTGGCATAGGTTTGTAGAACTTTCTTTCCATCTGGTCCCCAGCTTGATGTCATCCTGATAATGTTCTATTCACTGTTGCTGCACCTCAAAGAATATCTTCCTGGGTAGTCTACTGAGAGAATCCCATTCTAAGCAAACCTTAATAGGCTTAGGGACTGGAAAGTTGAACAGCTGTGAACAATGGGTTGACATTTCCAAAAGTAGAGACACAGTTGGTGACCTCCCATGAACAGTTTCTCTCTTCTTTGATTTTCCCTCTCTCCCACAAATTCTCTTTCTCTCTCCCTCCAGCTATTAGCAATTCATAATATATAGCTAAGCATATATCTTAGTAATTTCTTATTGAGTAAAATTTATGTTCCCAGCTCTCAACCTAGAAAACAGTTTATTATATTTTCTAGGGAGAAATCATTTTGTAAGTATTTTTCCCCCTGTGGATCTGTGATCCACCACCCTCCAGTGAAAGGGGGAGAAAAAGAGCTCACAATAATTTTTTTAAAAAACTGCTCTGCAATAGGAACATTCTTCACACATTTCATGTGATCCTCTTCATAACCTTGTAAGGGAAACGAAAGCCTCATTTTTATAGATGATGAAGCAGAGACTCGGAGGAGTTAAGAAATTTGCATGCAGTCACGCAGCTGGGGTACTTGGAATCTGGATTCCGGCCCAGTTTTGCCTTCCCCCACATCCACGTTTTTCTCTGCTTTTCCTGGAGAAACACAGTGGTGGATGAAAAAAGAATCCTGGAGAACCACGTACAGTATGAGACTATTTTTTTAAGCTCAAAATCTATACCATATGGTTAGAGATACATGCAAACGTGATAACATTATATTTCAGAAGCAAAGCGGTGACTATCCCCAATTCAGGGTGAAGCTTATGTCAGGGCGGCTGAAATAGGGAGGAGAATAGGGTGAGCACTGGGTTGTTGCCAATATTCGGACCAGCACCCAGTTTACCGTGAGCTCATGGAAGTTAATTTTATTATTATGCATCCTAAATTACCTATTAGTTGTCTGTTTTTGTTTATACCAAATGTTAAATTGAAAATAATAAAGAGAAAAAGTGAAGTGAAAGAAGCCAAACCCAATGTTGATTGACTGCTTTAGTGGCCTCTATTCGGACAGTACAGTGACCATCCCTGTGTGCTTTTTCCCTGTTGACTCCACAGTGCATTTGCCACGTGTTCTTTTACTGGCGCCTCCATCAGAGATCATCATGCCACCCTGTGAGAATACCTGAGATGGGGTTTTTATTCCCACTTTAAAGAGAAAGGGTGGAAACCACCCCTGTGCCTCCCAGCCTCACCTCCTCACATCACCTCCCATTGGAGTTTGCCTAAAAACATGGGTCCAAGGACAA